TTGCACCGTCCGCGTCGTGGGCTACGCTCCAACGATCTTACGGATAAATAGGCGCGTATTGGTGGCGATTGTATCGCGAGTACCGTAATTGTACATAGGTCCCTACATTGGAATGTTGATTAGCGAAGTATGCGCTAGTCGAATCATATCTTCTACGTGTGCACGATTGTGCGCACGATGAGAGCGCACACGCATGGTTTCGAAATGGAAAGTATCACTTTGACAACAGTCAGGTCAGTAGTCGCGCGTGCACGCATGGGAGAACGAAAAAAAAAAAGATATTTCGTAGCGCCGAGAAGCGAAAGACGCAGGTGACGACCAGACCACCGTGCTCTGAGAGAAACAGGATTTTTTATTCCCTTCGCGTTCGCGGTCATTTGCTCGCGTGTATGCGTGCTCCCTGCGAAAAAGGAGGTAACATATGGGCGTATAAAATACCGAATGAGTCCACCGTGAAGACGGCCAGCCGTATAGTCGCGTTGTTCATAACGTTGTTCACCAAAGCCAAGAGACAACAGTGATGACACATGATTGTCTCGATCACGAATCACAGACCACGCGTCGATATCGGTTACTCTGTTATCGTTATCCGCGTAACACAAAAGCGCAACACGAACGTGGTTTTGATTTGCAACAATTATATGTAAATTTTGTAAAATTTTTATTCCCTGCTAGTTATAAATCGCTTTTGAACATTTGCGAGTCACACGTGGTCGAAAATTAGGGAATTTACGAAACGTCAGATGGAATATATAAAAACTTCGTCACGATTCAGTTCAGCTGTCGCTGTTTTCTGTCAATGAAGTTATGATGACACGCTGATAATTTGCATGACGCAATTCAGGGGATATTTTACGTCGAGAATATTTAAATTTAAAAATAAAAAATGTTGAAGTTATTGCGGGTTTCATTATCTTTTGCATTGAGATAGAAAGATATTACATGGATAATGAAGTACCCGATTTTCAACAAATTCGTATATTCTTAAATTATTGAATTTAAATTATCAATATCTTATACCAAAAAGAAGAAATTATATTTATCAACGGAAAAATCTCAAATCCTTAACAAAAAAGTAAAAAATCAGCTAAACCTGTTTGATTCTTGTAAAATGTAAAAGAATCGTATTAGAGGTGCGAGTTGTATATTGAAAAACAAAGTTGTAGATAGAAAATTTGTCATTTGGTCTGTACCGCTGAACCAGCCGCATTAAAATTTCATAAACAGTGCACACGGAAAGTGCACTCGCGCTTATTGGTACATGGGAACGTAAATGAAAGCGAGTATCATTCGGTCCACTCAAAAGTTCATAAATGAATCGGCGCGCATGAGTAATCGCACTCGATGACCCTCCATGCAACTCGCAGAAACTTTTCTGCACTTTAATTTGCAATTTTTGTAGCTGTTCGATCTTTAATGAATTAATTTCAGAAATTCGCTTGAAATTTACACAGAAAAACATACAAGGATTATCTAAACTACTGACAGCTTAATTACCACAATTTTGCGCTTGTTGTTACGTCGTATCGGGAACAATCGTAGCACTTTTGGTTTCGACACTTTAAAAATAGAAAATACGTAACGTTGCAGGAAAATGTATTGAAAAATATTCCTGTGCAGAGAGATTTAATTTTATAGAAATTTAATATTAAAGTTTAATCATAGAAAAAATATTGAATGTTGTACATTGTCGGAAAGAAATTGTAATAATCATTGGATCGGATAAAAAAATTATCCGCTAAGAATTATATTTGCTCGGATATTATCATATAATTTATAGCAGAAAATGTGATAATTTTGATCTTTATATTTTTCAACGCAAAGATTATGTATGATTTATATATATACAAATTGCATTAATGCAAATTTTATTTTATTTTTTTATCGAAAGGATAGCGATATATGAAAAAAAACTACTTTAACACAAACATTATTGTCTCGACAGAAGTTGCAATATAGTTTCTCTACGTAATTAATAGATTTTATATTAATTAAAGTCATTGTATCTTCAAAAAAATTAAGATCAGAAAATAAAAATATTGAAAACAATGAAGAAATGACATCTACGTCGAAATATCATCATTCATTATAATATATTATTAATTATTATATTAATTATTATGTATTTCATACAATCCGTATAAATTAAATTAAAAAATAAAAACATGTATCAAAAATTAAGATTTATAACTTATAAGTACATATCCACACAAACGCAGTATGCATATAAGTAATTTAATTCAATGAAAATTTTAAGTAGATGATTTTAATGAACCGGAACCAAAAAAATACTGTAATTTACAAAATACCGGTACTTTTGTTAGCTAGAAAACCAAAATCGAAACCGAAACCTTTATTAAGTATTTTAATGGACCGAAACCGAATCGAGATTTTCGTCCGGTCCGGGTCCCTGATTTATAAACTTATATAAATACATATCCACAAACGATAATATGCATATAAATGTTTTAATTCGATGAAAATTTCAATAAAAAATTTTTAATAAACCGGAACCAAAAAAACTGTAGTTTACAAAATACCGGTACTTTTGTTAGCTAGAAAACCGAAACCGAAACCTTTATTAAGTAATAGACTTTTTAATGGGCCGAAACCGAAACCAAACCGATATTTGCGTCCGGTCCGGGTCCCTGTTATAAATCTTAAATTAAGATACTTAAAGCCTTGGGAATTTCCTTAAACCTCAAATCAATCACGGACATTAATAATTATGCCGCGGATATGTTTGAAAAATTTCTCCGGACCCTCTACAAAAGAGGACAGTGTCCGAGGAAAAAAAAAATGGATGGCAAAATGTAAATCAATAGAAATTTTGATATTTGTAATCTCATATATAAATCATTGTCAAGCGAAATGCTTGTCCTACCATAATCTCCGTTGTTCAATGGTTCGTTTACAGAGCAGTGTTTCTGCGAAATCATGCGTTCCGCGAGAGGAATAAATTAAAGTTTGCAAACTAATTTAAATAAACATCGACGATGTGTAAAAATAAAAACCGCCGCGCATACTCGCAAAATTCGCAATGCATTCCAATTGCGGGCTTCAGTTACGCAGCGATTTGCAGTCACTATAAAAAATTTCAGTAAACAAAATTATTTTATAAAATATTTCAACAAAATAATGACAACGAATACACACGCGATGTAAAAACATTAGCTCTTTAATATCAAAATACAATTACAATTTTTTTTCCGACAAGTGGTGTTAGGTATAACTCCGTGACGAGTGTTTTGTTGAAGTATATATTCACACAAACGTAGTATGCATATAAATAATTTAATTCAATGAAAATTTCAATAAAAAATTTTTAATAAACCGGAACCGAAAAAAAAACTGTAGTTTACAAAATACCGGTACTTATTTTGTTAGCTAGAAAACCGAAACCGAAACCTTTATTAAGTAATGGACTTTTTAATGAACCGAAACCGAAACCGAACCGATATTTTCGTCCGGTCCGGGTCCCTGACTTCATTATTTGACACAGCATAAAATACGGGCACGATTAATTGGCCATCGGGAATAAAAGTAAACGCGTCGAGTGACAATTTCGAGAATGATTAGTCATACGCTCGTTATCAGAGTTACAAAGCCGCGAAGCTTTATCGTTCTGGAAACAAGTTTAAAGCTCCGCTTTGTTGCTAATGAGTCAGAGAACACGCGCGGTAATGCCCCCTCACGTATATCCACGTTTGTTAATTAACCGCACTGCGAGACGATGAAAAGACAGTCGCTTGATATTCGGAAGGGCGTGTGGCTTTTATCGCGCAAATAATTAAAACAAAAGCAATAAACCTAGGAAATAAGATCGGTTTGAGAGAGACGAGAGATGTTATTAACGTCAGTCTGTAAACGTCACGAATGTAATGCTAAACTTGTTTAGGCATATTGGTAAACCGGAACTCAATGAAAAGTATAATAGGTTTTGGTTTAAATTTTCTTATTGAAATTATTAGATTTATTAGATTATCATTTATTAGATTATCCTCGAGTCAGTTCTATTATGTTACTAATTATCGGACGGGCACTCAGGTGTGCCAGTCATAAGGGGGGAATATCTGGAAATTGTTTTGCTCATTATAGCTTTGTCTCGTTATTTTTGATAACCTCTGTACGAAAAAGAGTGAATATTATATTCATAAAAGGATATAAGTAAATATTTTGGTTTTTAAAAATTAACTTATAACTTATAAGTATATACATATCCACAAACGTTAGTATGCATATAAATAATTTAATTCAATGAAAATTTCAATAAAAAATTTTTAATAAACCGGAACCAAAAAAAAACTGTAGTTTACTTATCAAGAGACACGGCAGTGTCTCGCGCCAAGTACGTATCAAAATACCGGTACTTATTTTGTTAGCTAGAAAACCGAAACCGAAACCTTTATTAAATAATGGACTTTTTAATGGACCGAAACCGAAACCAAACCGATATTTGCGTCCGGTCCGGGTCCCTGTTATAAATCTTAAATTAAGATACTTAAGGCCTTGGAAATTTCCTTAAACCTCGGATCAATCCCGGACATTAATAATTATGCCAGATATGTTTGAAAAATTTCCCCGGACCCTCTGCAAAAGAAGACAGTGTCCGAGGAAAAGAAAACGGATGGCAAAATGTAAATCAATAGAAATTTTGATATTTGTAATCTCATATATAAATCATTGTCAAGCGTCAAATACGGCACGAAATTTTTGAAACATGATTTTCTTATACTCAAGCGCCACATGTTTCAAAAATTTCAGGAAGGAATTAAAACTTGTAAGTACACACATATCCACAAACGCAGTATGCATGTAAATAATTTAATTCAATAAAAATTTCAATAAGAAAATTTTAATAAACCAAAATCGGAAAAAACTGTAATTTGCAAAAATACCGGTACTTACTTTTGTTAACTAGAAAACCGAAACCGAAACTGAACTGATATTTTCGTCTGGGCTGCACAAGGTAAATTGACAAACAAAGTAAATTGACTTACCGGTGTGGTGTACGGTTGGCAGGCCAGCCTGATGCCGTCGTGTCTCAGCTTCTCCTGCAGCAACATCCTCAGCTGCATCCTGGGAATTCTCACCAGCTCGGCCTTGCCCTCCTCGTACTCGTCCGCGAACTTGGTCAGCTCCTGACCGCCGCTGGAGGAGCTGGCCGTGGGCGACGCACGCTGCGCCTCCTTGTCGCTGGGTGGCCTGTCGGACGACGTCCTCGACGACTTGGAGCTGATATTGTCGCAGCTGTTGTCGTTGGTCGTCTCCTCCAGCGTGAAGTACACGCTCGCGGCGCCTTCCTCGCGCAGGGTCTTGACCGATTGCAACAGGCGCGCGCGGTGCTTCTGATTAAACACGCCGATCGCATCGAGATCCGGATCGCCGATTTGCTTGCAGATCTCAAGGTCGTCGTAGCCGTTGTCGATAAACGACTCCGAGTACTGGCCGAGATGAAGCGATCGCAGCCACTCGACCACGATGTTACTTGCCATGGTCATCTTGATGCTCTCACGTTGTTCACGCGTGGGTTCCGACTACGCCCCCGCTCTCGTTCGCCTCTCTTCAAAACCGTCCTATCCTCCTGCGCCCGCTCCTCGTCGCGACGAGCTCGGCTTTATTATCCGCTGCACTCGTCGTCGTCGGCGGCTACTACCATCCCGCGAGGCCGCCTCCCAGACGACGATGTAACGTCCATCGAGGCGCGCGCGAGGATCGACCAATGTAATCACTCGGTCGATTTAGCGAGTAAATCGGAGGCCCCGTCTGCCGTCTTCTTCTAGCGCGACATTCTCCTCCCACGATCGGCTGCGGTATTAACGAGGGTCGTCTCGCCGGCGACCCTGAAACACGCGGGGCGTCGACGAGGGGAGGGAGGTAGTTTGCGGCGGTCACGCTCGCCGCTCGACATGTACCGCTCCTCGGCTCATCGCGAGATACACGGGCGACAGACTCGAGATCGCTGTCGCTCTCCCTTCTCTCTTTGTCGTCTCGCCGACGTGTCCGAGAGCTTACGCGCGTCTCCCGTCCGCGTTTCCGACAAGACGCAAAAGCTGGAGGGCGAGAAACACAGGCGCGGAAAGATTTGGGGAAATTTTCGAGAGATCACACGCGCACACACACATATACACACACACGAGAGTGTCAGTCCTTCCCGGCGCACATACGACAGCAGCCCCGAGCTTATCTCGATAAATCCCGCACCTTTCGCTCTTCTTTGCGCCTCTGTGCCTCTTGCTTTCTCCCGTCACCGACGAAATCTAATCCGGCACGCCGCTGCTCGGTGACGCGACTTTTTTCGCTATTTACGCGCCGCGCGAGCGCGAAAGACGTACCTCTAATTCAAATAAAAGTCGTTGGAATCACATCGCGCACTCGCGAGAGATTATCACCTGATTCGCCAAAGTCGCGCGATCGTCGATCGATGCGGGAACGGAACGCGCTTATCTTCACACCGCACTTGTCGCGACGAAGTGAGAGAAACCCGGCGAGTCTCTCGTTCCGAGAATCTGGGCGATCCGCGAAAAGTCCGCGAGCGAGTCCTCTCTTCGGCTGGAAGACGACCGTGGGATCACGGCGAGATCGACGTCGAGATCACCGAAGACGAACGACGTGGACGGATCCTTCCGTTGAGAGCACTGGCTGGCCACCGGGTGAAGTCGGCGCGGAGAGAGCGACTCGTCGCTCGCTTCAGACCGACGCGACTTTGAAACTCGCGCCACAGTCACTTGGAATCTCGTTCACGCGACAGGTAGAGACGAGTCCGCGTCGGTTACTCGCCACCGATGAATGTCACGCACACGCACCAAACGCACGACGAAGACAAAAATTCGAACGCGTACGCCGGCCGACGTTACGACGCGCGCGATCGCTCGCCCCGACAATTTCTTCGAAAACCACGGCTTCTCCCTCGCAGAAACCTCGTGCAGTCACTCGCGACGGTCACGGCCGGCTATTCCACGCGTTGAAGTTTCCCCCTTCGCGCACGGACACACGAGCGGGGCGCTGCGACGCGCACTGGAAAACGGTCGTCCGGTCGAGGACGCGATCGAGAGATTTCGAAGGGGGCCGAAAAAAAACGCGACGGCGACGACGACGGCGGCGGCAACGAACGGCGAGGGTCCGTTGGTATCCCTGACGCGCGGCTTGCCCGACCGGCCCGCGTGCGAATCGAGACGATCGACGGCGACGAGAACAACGACGACGACGGGATACGGAATAAACGTGGCCGGTGATCTTCGCGATGAACGCGCGTCGCACACAGTCAGACCGAGGAAGACGTCATCGTCGTGATTCGACGGAACGCGCGAGACGATGCACCACAGTACGACACTACCGCGACGCGGCACACGGCTCGACTGATACGAGACACTCACCAGAGGGAGTCCCCCCCACTACTCTTCACGAACTGCCTCTCCCCTCTCCGCGCCCGTGCCGACTGCCGGCGTCGCCGGCGCTGCCGCTGCGTGCCTTGTCCTCTCCCCACCAGCGGGACTTCTCGATCACCCCCCTCCTACCCCCCATCGTCTCGCGCATCGCGTACGCACTATACGGAACGGAACGTGCAATTTCAACCGGCGACTCCGGCGAGAGCGAGAATGAGCCGTCGACTACGGTCAGGATGCAAGATGCAACACAGCCGTCGGGGTGGATCGGTCTCTCGGTCTTGCGACAGCGGATGCGGAACCCTGACGAGGTAAACTCGGCCGTTCGTCTCGAATCTCTCCCGTCGAAAATTTGAGAATTTCAGAATTTCGCTGAAAACTTCAGCGACTTTTCCCCCCTTAAACCCCGAATGTGCGCGCTCCGGACTTCTAAAGATTCTATCTCACTTTTCTGGGATTCTGTTCTAAGCCCACTTTAGACGATCCATAAATCTGCGTGTCGGATTTCAAGATAGAATTCCATTTATTATTTTATATTCAATTTATTTGAATATATGTATTTAAATATGTGGTTTGGGAGAGAATATTCATGTATTTTAAATAATTTTCCTGTTACACGACACAAAATTATATACGCATAGATAAAATTTTATTATAAATTCTGCCACAAATTAAAAATTGTTTAAAATGGACTTTGTTAATATTTGACATAGATATTTTAACGAAAGAAAATGTTTTTTAATACCAATCACCTAATATGAGAATATTTTTATAATATTCTGCTTCTAACAATAAGTCTTTATGGTATTCTTTATGGTATGTAAGTTATAGAATTTCTATTGCACATTGTTACACAATATTGACATTTTCTACTTTGAAGTACGTTAATAAATTAAACGAGAACATTGCTCCAGAATTTGATTAAAATTCCGAGTATCGCATTTTATTATGTAGATTTTAACTTCGACTTTCGCGCAGAGAGGATCAAATTAAAAAATAAATTTTAATATAGACAGCGACGAAATCCGCTTATCGCTATCGGTTTTTGTATTAAAATGACAACGGTTTCTTGAATTCACACGAAAAGCGTGGAAGAAAGAAGCGGAAAAAACTAGGTACACTCTCGTTTCTCTTTCCATAACGTCCGCGTTGCGTGATCGTTCAGAAAACACTGTGGTCACTGGACGAGAGTTAGTATCGATGATTATCTACGACAATCGTAATCAATTTCTTTGTCAGAACGGCGACATTTATAAATGAACGCCTAACGGCAATGGTACAAGGCCTGTGACCCACGAGGCCAATAATCTGCACTGCTGCCAGTCAAACGGCCGGCACGTTCAGCTCTCTATGTGCTATTATATCACGCTCGTATGAAACTAGACTGCATCGAGCGGTGAATGCGATAGGAACGACAATAGTTCGAGGGTCACGTCGATGGCCACTTCCTCCCTTTTTCCAGCAGGAATTGAGTATCCTTTAAGAAGGAACAGCTCCTCTCGAAAATAATGAAAAAACTACGTAAGATAATCATAAATACAATTATATATTGGATAATAAAAATGCGTAAAATGATTGTTCCTCAATGAGATAATTAAAAAATTGTTTAATCTCTTAGAATTAAAAAGATAAGTTTCGAGGAAAGTTTCAATATATCATTTTATCGCAATAAGCGACAAAATTTTATTAGATATCCACACGAAATTTTTGGATGGAAAGTAAAAAGTAAAAATATTCATTAATAATTTAATGTTTTGATCATTATTATTCACACATCGAAATAATTATTGCAGTTCAAATTAATACTGTTTTGCAAAATAATTTTAATATTATTTATTATTATGTAAAAAATGTAATGCATAAAATACATTCTTAGCTCCTTGTTGCAATGTGATATTTAGACAACAAGATTTCTATATTCGTTAATAATCTATATTCGTTTTAGCAAAAATGTGCAGCATTATTTATTTTAATTATTCGCCGTAAAACACCTGCCGCATTTGCTTTTCGAGAAATACGAGCGCGAAACCGATGGCAAGCACTACTCTTGGGAAATCTCTATTAAATGACAATGCTAGTCGTGCGGAGCTTGCGACCGATGATCGCCGATATATGCGTGAGGTCCGAATTAATTGAATGATCGGCATGGACGTACCCGTCCTGCTATGACGGCAAAGCAGGGAGTGACAAGTAGCTCTCAATAACGTGATATGACATTGCGTGTCGTGGACAGGAAGGACCCTTTCAATGCAACCCTCGCTATTTCCTCGCTTTGGTCGAGTAATTTGCTTTCGAAGCAGAGGGATGAGATTGGAAGACGGGTCACCTGTCAATATATTAACTCGTTTCCGCAATGCTGCGAATTATTATGAAACGGCGATATAAAGCTTCCATCGTTCACGGACTGTTTCAGATGTGCCAAATATTTATAAACGTACAACAAATTCCAATGTGGTATCGGGATATTCCTGATTATACGGAATAAATGATATTATCGAGGTCTCTTTGAGTTCGTTATTAATGTCAAACGTTACGATAGACTGCATTAAAACCTTCCATACGTCAGCGAAATTTTGCGCGGCTGCGATGTGTGTGCGTGTGTGTAAACTCCGATACATTATCATAATACATAGATATTTTAATAACTTTTCAGATGGTGTAATCAAGAATATTTTTAAAGAAAATTAAAACATTGTGACAGCCAGTACGACGTGTCAGAAAGAAAGAGAGAGAGAGAGAGAGAGAGAAAGAGAAAGCTTGAGGATAACGTTATTTTATACATGTTTGCTAAATTTTACTATTTTAATTTGCTAAATTAAAATTGAATCAAAATTAAATTCATATCCAAATGACATATAAATCAAATCATTACATTAGTCATTAACAGGTCATTAATTTTACGAATAAGGGGATACGGAAGATTAGCATTCCGACGATTGTCTGCTGAATATATGATAAAGCATGCCCTCCCAGGATGGTTACCGCATACAGAGCAGGATAAATGTAGGGTCCTGTCGGATTCTGGTTAGGTACTCGGTTTATCTTTAATCGGTGCGTCGACAAGACATGACGTTAGCAAGAATTTGCAATTTGCTGATGTATGCATATATTATATAACGATAAAGGAACGCAAATATTAAATAAATTTTCGAGTTAGGGAACTAGCAACTGATCGAGGTTAAAATATTAACGTCAATTTCTTGCTATAGAATTGCAAAGAGAAAAATCGGCGAAGCGTTCCAATCCGTTCTCAGGATTCTTGTTCATTGTTTTTACAAAACGAGAAGCAGTGTATCATCTTGTCAGCGACACACGATATTCTATGGCCGTATAACAATCCGTATAAATTCTAATCGATAATCCGGCTGGCGTTTAATCCTGTAACTTTCATACGTATGCCGTTTCATTGTTTACGAGTCCAGCGACGGCGTGTTTACGGTGTGTTTTACCGTTTCAAAACAACCAATAAAACGGCACTTCCCGTTCGCTTCTCGTCGCTATGTGCCATATCGACGGCCGAGAGCAGCCTACGACGCTGCAACCAGAACTGCGGCTTCGCGTCATCGTTGCAGTCGCGCGCGGCTATCGTCTCGGTGTCCGAGGTCGACGTCGCGATAAAAAGTCAGCTGGAGCCAAGATGCTCAAAAATATCGACATTAACTGCCGATTCGTTTGACTGTGAGTCCGGTGGAGAAAAACGTTGCGTCCGATGCTTGCGAAATGGCGATCGTAAATAGCGGGTTCGCGCCCCGACATAAAACTCCGAACGAGCCCGGGCGAGCTTAAAACAGACAACCGTTTTTAGAAAAAAAAAAAAACAAGAAAAAAGCAGCAGATCGCATGGCTTTATAAGCGTTATGTGCATATATCAGCCGCGTTAACTACCGATATAAAATTCAAGGAAAAAGATTTTGAGCGAGCTTCTCTCCCTTTCTCGCGCGACGCTCTGTTGGACGCTCTGCTACGCGGGTAAATTGCGATATCGTAATTAAATAGACGAAGCTCCTCGTATTTCAGAATGATTCATCGCCGCTAGACGAGTCGTTTTCATCCCGTGTCATTAACACATTACGGTGCACGACTTGCCGGCTCGGATTGCCCCGGTCGCGGCATCGCGGCAACAATTTTTCGGCTCCGTTCTGCTACATTACGCGACTCGCGCTGCGAAACCTGAATGGTGCGCTATTTATCGTTCCACCGATATTTCATTAAAAAAAAAGCACGGTGTGGCGCCCGCGAGTCCGGCGGATCCCGATGACGGTCTCTCTCATCGCCTTTCCGCGAATAATTTCGTGACGTTTATCGTTCAAGGCTGTGCGCTCGTAAACAAGGCGAACGCGGAGCTCTGTTTCGTGTATATCTAAAAGCGCGTATATGTATCAAACAATAAGAGCGTACTATAAAGCGCGGGCCCATGAAAAGAATTTCCGCGCTCTAGGATACATTTAATGATGGATCGTAAAGAACATACCGTAAATGATAATGATAGCGGGACCATTTCTGCGAGAACGTTATTTGCTGCAAACATCTCGGCGGTAATACGAGACTAATTTCTGTTTTTCCTCGGTACGCGCCTTACGTAGCGCGAGGGGGTGCTGCGAGAGATGCCTTGGAATCTGCGTAATTAAGCGAGGGGTCTCGCGAATAAATTTACATCGTCTGTAAATCCTTCACATTAGATAAATGCTCACAATTAGCTCCGCTCCTGCTGTGCCCTCCACGCATTTCGAATTCGCGAAGGCTGTGCCGTTTTTGGTAATTAAATAATATTGCAGCTGTTATAATTGCACGCGAGAGTAGGTGTCCGTTTATTGTCTGCGATTTACTTGTATGAATTAATTATTACCTAAATGATCACAAACATGCACGCGCGTGCTATTAATAAATCTGTGGTAATTAACAAGCTCTACATAAATTAGGTCATTTGATAATCTTCTAATACTAATCTAATACAATAGTCTCTGTCTTTTGTACATTGTTCGAACAAAAATAACTTTTATCACGGGACACGAAGAAACGATAAAATTAACAGAAACGTTTGTTTCGTCATTATTAAAACTTTCTCTCTATGTATCGTTTGTATTCTAATTCTTTAAATATAAGAAGAGTTAAAGTGACTATTTACATATTAAGCTTTAACATTAATATGCAGACTCTTGCATGTAAGTTTGTAGTATCGTAATATAAGATTTCTCTGTACTGCATTACTTTACTAGGGACAGTAAGAGAGATATTTCAGAGTGATATCAGTGACGGCGGTTTAACGACACCGTAACCCTCACCGCAGATAGAAGGAATGCACTTCATTTCTGGACGGAGGGTGCATAAAGGACCATCCGTGTACCCGGAAAAGCTCGGGTTAATTCAGAGGCCTGGCGAAAGTCGTAAAATAGTGCGTGACTGCCGGTTTTCCAGCAGGGAAAGGAGGAGGAAGCACATACGTACGTAACTACAAGTGGATGTGTTTGCGAAGCAGGTGGAGCTTTTTAAGGGAACCTGCGTGTATATCTGTACTTGCCCTTCTGTACAGGATGTCTCAAAGAGAAAATCACGTATCTTGATCATATTATCTTTCTTTGGCTTATTTGAAGACTTTAAATAAAATATAGCAGATCATGATTTTCGTCTAAATCTAATTTTAAATTATTAAATATCTTAATAAATAAAATTTTATGCGTCAGAATTTTACTGAAATATATTTCAAAAAGAGCAAAACTTTGTTTAAAATTTTAGAATCTTAATTCGCTAAAATATCTCTTTTAATCTTCACTGGACTAAAAAATTATTTATCTTTCTATATTGAAGTTATCGTCAAATTTTTAAGCCCTATTAAAATATGGTTATTTTGAGACGCCTTATATACATAAGGACTAGTAGCTTACCTTGAATTCGGAGGGTAGGATTCTGCTGTGAGCGAGGCACGTACGTCTTCTACGACTACAGATACCATTACGAAGATGACGGTAGGCAACTGAAAAAGTATATACAGCACATCCAAGTTTTTCAATGCGAGACGAAGGAAAGGTTTGCTAAACACGAAGGTCTTACCGATAGAATGTTAATATCTCTTACACATATGCAGGTGAATTTACAGTAATTCAAATTAAAAGTTTTAATTTATATAATAATCGACGTCGATAATGAGAAAGAATAAGATAGTTAGAGTAAGAGCAAATTTGCTCTAATTTATTAACGTTGCTAAAACATCATGAGTACTCTATGCAAACTACTTTCTCGCTTTATATTTTTCTTGTGATACTTGTACACGCGTAAGTTAAACATGGCGAATTGGGTACCCGAATACCTACGGAGCTGAGATCACAGCCGGAGGCTGTACGAAACGGTTATGTGGTTGTCGAGTCTGCTAAAGCACAAGGTCAAAGTTTCGGCAATTTGAGATGCGATGCGGGTAAGGAGGTAGCAACTTTAATCACTTTCGAATCGGGGTAAATCTACTCGCGTATCTCGAACCCGCAGGATCCATATCGCGTGTAGTTGCTGCTTTACGAGAGGATTCTGGTATAAGGGTATCGTATCAAGAAGGAAACAATCAGTGCTAGTTAAATTAACAAGTCGAGTAATTCAAAGTATATTCTTTTCACAGACATATAAAACAGTTTGTAGTTATATCTATAATTATTTGAATTTATTTATAATTGCCTGAATGTATTCCATATATGATATACAATGGAGATATACTTTTTGTATATCCACATAGATATAAGACAGACGAATAAATAGTTACAAATGTTTGGTTGCGTCATGCTTAGAATACGATCCAACTGTAAACGTGCGAACGATACATCTTGAAAGAATTGTTAGCAATCTTCTCCTGCCTACGTAGGATTACCATAACAGGAAATATCAAATAGATCGTCGTATTTCTTATCTATCGCGCGCTCGCATGATTATTCATCTCTTCGGATTTCGCATCGTGTTACTTTCACGTCTTCAAAATGCAACACTTTCTCCTTCCCTAGTCGAAAACACGAAAGTAAACGCCAATATATTTATGCACCTCGATCCTTTTCGTTTTACGGTTTTAGGCGGAATTTTAATCGAGGTCACGACCTCGCGCGCGGACCTTCCGCAGTGTGCGAATCCATAAATATCAAGTGAAACGCGAAATTAATGGGTGTGGCGTGACTCGGGCCAGCCGCGTGCCGTACATCCGAGGTCTCGAAAACGGCAGATGTATCGCGTCGGCGTGCAAATCGGAGATGTCGCCTGTAACAGATTCTTTTGAATGTTTCGTTTAAAAGAATTTCTTCTCCGGTACCGGATAAGAATATCCCTCGCTGTCGGAGTCCACGCTCAATTGGAGTCCCGAGCCTATGGAGCCCAAGTCATCACCACCGTTTACGATGCCACCGGAAATGCTAAATCCAGTACTCTGTCCACCTTCCAATAATGCGCCGGCTCCTCCATTGGCTGCTTCAATCCCGAGAGGACCGATTGATTGTATGGGTTGAGAACCGATCGATTGTATGGGTTGAGGACCGATTGATTGGATGGGACCGATTGGTTGAGCGGATACCCCCGAAATGTGATATGGATCAGATATGGATTGAGAGATTGAAAATGAGCCTGGTGCGTGAATTGCTACTGGGACCGGACCGATTGGAACTGGGACCGGGTGCGCTACGTGCACGGGATGAGGTACTGGCACTGGAACCGGGCGAGGTACGTTAACGGGATAGGCCTTGGTGACAATAACTGGAACTGGTTGGGGCACTGGAACGGGGACGGGACGCTTTACTTCGAAGGGTACAGGATGCGGGACCGGCACAGGGACCTTGCGAGTGACGGGAACGGCCTGAGGTACAGGAACGGGAACTGGAACCAGGCGATTCACGATCGTTTTGTGAATGTGTACGGGTCCGTGTCCGTAACCTGGTCCGTATCCGTAACCTGGTCCGTACCCGTAACCTGGTCCGTGTCCGTAACCGGGTCCCGCACCGATGCCGAAACTTGGTGCATATATTCCGTGACCGTTCGGCACTCCTCCTATGAATTCGATTCCATTACCAATTCCTCCGGGTCTATATCCGTAACCGGGCCCATATCCGTAACCGGGTCCGTGTCCGTAACCGGGTCTATGTCCGTAATTGGGTCCATAATTGGGTCCGTAATTAAGTCCGTAATTGGGTCCGTGTCCGGATCCGTGTCCGGATCCGTGTCCATGTCCGTTCCCATATCCATTTCCATATCCGTTTCCATATCCGTTTCCATATCCATATCCATATCCATTTCCATTTCCATATCTGTTTCCATTCAACACAGCATCACCGTGGGGGTTGTAACCGCCATGTCCATATATCGGTGATCCTCCGTGTAGAAGGCCACGTTTGTCATGTTTCTTCTCTGACGCATCACCGGCGAGGGCGGCGGCGAACAGTAACGAAATCTGTAAGCAATTATTTGTCATTGATTTGTGTCTGTTATTAAGAAAAAAGATTGTATTTTTTGGTAACGAGGTGCCTATTTTATTATAGAAATCAGTAACATTAATTTTTTCGATTCTATTAATATAATAAATGGCGACGCATCATATTGTAATTTGTGGAAAGTAGGGATTATATTCACAGACATGTATTTGCATGATTAAGATATAGATTTGAGAATGGCAAGTGTAACTAAAAATTCTATATCTAGACAAGACATAATATTAAACAAAATTATACTTTGTTCTTAATGTTCTAATAAATATAGTCAGACACAATCATGTTACAACACAAGAAAAAAAATTTATATCCGCTAATGATAAAAAAAATTGTGGAAGTTGAAAAACTATACCTCTTTACTTAATATACTTATGACAAACAGTAAAACTTTATTTTCTTATGGTACACTCGCGGCTATTAAGATATCCGGAGAAAAGAAATTTGACGAAAAATTTTACTACTTACTAAGAATGCCCTCATGGTGAACGTGCTGTGAGGAGATGAGTCTGAATGTGCTTCATATCATCGAGATTCATCGGTTTTTATACGGCGACGCCAGACGACACAACTACTTTCACTAGATATTCGCTGCAACACGCCCTCTGATCTGGACCCATCACATTCTAAAACTCCCAAACTTCCTCAATGATGCAATTGATCATGCAAGGAAGATTCGAGAGGCAATTCGCTAAGTAGATCAGCGAGAAGAATATTCATAAGTTATCTTCTGACAGCCTAAGTTATTCTCTCATGGTACATATAAGATTTATTGAATAAACAAACTTCTTTGGAATTTTTAATATATTTATAAAAATAATTGCTATGCAAAGTATGATTTACACAATTTTCTATAATACATACAGAAATCAAGAATAAACGAATCTCGAAAAATAAAATCAAAATTTTGTGTAAGCTAAAGTTAAAATAACGCTCTTGTCTGTACGTTTGTTAACATGATGCAAGTGAAAAGATTTATTGTTTCCATTGTTGGCCGTCATAGAAAGTTTTTTTTTTTAATTGAACTGCACTTGTAGAGTCGCTATCACCAACGATATTTTTTCTAGTATCTGGAAATGTCATTTCCATATCACACAATTGTTTTCAACGTCCGAGATATAACAGTCCATGCATATATCTGTAGAAGGCAAATATGCTTCACAATCATGCTCCAGATTATACAATCTTATCGACTAATGTACTTTTAATAGAGAAGAGAATATAATGCAAATTGTTAGAATTTTTTTTATTTAGATTAGCGAAAATTAGCGAAATGTACATATATATCCAGGTAAATAATAGAATATTAATAGAGACAAATTTATATTTAAGCTATATATTGTTTTTAAATTATTACACGCAAGACGCGATATAATTAAAAAATCATATACTGTTATACGATATAAAGTTCTTTATACATCTATAAAAGATCAAAAAGTAACGTTTTTCATTGCGTCTTACTTCTTTATTATTTCATGAAAAGAAAGTAACAAGGAAGTTGTCACAAATTTCTTTAGCGACGACGCATGCATATAAATCTGCCGGTGACTGGCACAGGAGACGCATTACCTAACACTATAACAGACACCTGCGTTAATACCTTTCTAGTTGCTTTATTTGTCGCGGTCAACCGTTAATTGCCCTTTTACTTACAGTTTAGACATCGGAGTAGTACGCTAGTCTGGGGCAATAAATCGGTAACCATACGGCGACAATTAGCAACGTCTCGTTGAGCGCGTTGTGAGAACTGCGCGCCGTTTCACAGTCCTAATTTCCTTACTTGAGAATTAATTGGACTCATCGTACAACGATTCTTGCGAAGTATGCGTGATTTCTTAAATAGCATAATTGTAGAGTTGATGACGCATTGCTCGTAGTCTATTTTTGTGTATCGTTCGTAATAAAAATAGTGACAGTAAAATTTAATAGCAATGCAAATAAGTTTACTAAAGCTGTTAAAATATTCGATTCTTTAAAACATTTACGGTTGTAATAAAAAATCTTGATAAATTAAGCTTAAAATTCCAAACAGATAATGCTATGTTGCATTAATATCTTTCAATAAAATTTATTAAATATGACAGAAAGTAAGTACATACTTTAAATATATGATGAGTAATAAAGAATGATTTAAATATATGCATGATTAATTAACGCGAAGAAATAAGAAAATTAAATTCGAATTACTTGCATTCTCAAAAACAAAATTGTCGAATATTACGCGCTTCAAGAATAGCAATATCATTACTACAAGTGTTAATTATACTCAGAGAAACAGCATGGACACAGACAGAGAAACGAGCTTTCTCCTAAAGCTACGCGATTCAAACGGGCTATCGCTTTTGAAAGCGGGGTAAAGCGCGTATTTAGCTGCTGGCCAGGCGCCCTCTCATAATTAGCAGTTTCCAAAGGATTTCCACTGAGAGTCCGCTAGCAGGCGCCGCCAAGATTTATCCGCGTCATCCTTTTTATTCGGGTATTCACGAGCGAGGTGCCGAGAAAAAGAACAGAAAGTAAATGGAGACATATTCCTGTAGGAGCGCGCGAAGCACGGTCGATGCAGAGCGGGAGCTAATGTCAGAGATTAGAGGTAATCCGTTCTCGGCTGGCAATCGTCGAGGAGGATCCTCCTCGTTCGCAACCGGAGCACAGCTTCGATCTAGATACTGCAGTCGCACTGTCGCAGCGCCGGAGGTCTCCTTCCTCCTCCGGTCCTGGGGCCGGATCCTAGCCGCCCTTTTTCGCCGGCAGATACATTAGAAGGAATTACGGAGAGAGAACGCGTTTCGAGTGACGTGAGCATTAAGACCGCGCAAGACACGGCTCCGTAATTACACTAATTACGGAGTCGTTAGGATTCTTTATAAATACTGCGTCTTTGTTGCCTTTTTCTTCTTCTCACGACCGCTCCCACGAGCGCGAGCTTCGGAAGCGACCGCGGAAAGAATGCGTGCCGACAGCTTTATGGAAAATTTTGCGGTTCTGCGGTTCTTATTTTCCTCGTGATCAAGTTCCCTTTTGCATTTACCGTTACTATCCAGAAGCTAGTATATGTGCTATGCACTAGTAACAATATAACGCGGAAAAAATCTTGTCCTTTTCTCTGCTCACTGTATGATCTCGTTTTAATATTCAGACAATTCTTCCTATGCTAAAATTGTCTATAGCATAATTGTAGATATTAAATATTTGAAATTAAAAGATTCTCTCATACAAATTAAAGGCATATAAACACAAAATAAAACCGTGTTTATTTCATCTGCAATTTACTGTAATCGACAATAAATTTATTTTGTGTGACCTTTTATTAATATATTTATATAGTATTAAACATTCGAGAAGTATACCTAATTAGATTTTCTAGCTATCTTTAAATGCAATACAAGATATCGTTGTAGCACGTCTGTGAATCTGTTATTTTAAATTAAAACAAACGGAAATTCTGGTCATTGAACGATATTTTGGATCTATTCTATTCAGATCGAAAAATCCGGCAGACATATCGTAAACTTTCGTGTTTCTCTACTTTCACTAAACCAGTCCCCGAGGAAATCGAAAATATGCACCTGCAAACTTGTTCTTTTCTCCCAATAAGGCCGACTTCGCCATAATATATGAATAATTAATAGATCTTGCTAATTAAAACAGTGAACAAACTGCGTTGTCATTCGTGAAATTCGCATGCAGCCGTAATTTAAGTGCGATTTCGCTTGTAAAACTATCCGATGTTTTCATATTTAGATGTACAAATCGTAAAATCAGCATACATGTGTAGAATTAGGAAGAGTTATATAACCTCTCTCACACACACACACGAATTTTGGTGATATTCAGAATTTAGTAGAAAGTAAATTAAACTAGAATTTTTGGAAACAATATTTTATGTTTCTCAAGCTGTAATAATTAAAAAATATAGTCTATTTTGAATTGCTATACTAGCGTCCAAAATTATGAATAACAGATTGAGTATCGAGATAATAACAAATGGTGGCTTGTAGAAATTTTACTTTTAATCACAACGTGTGAATAAATTGATTCGCCGGTAAATTAAAATGCTTGTAAACTTTCAAATAAAGATGCGTCTTATAATTCAATGAGATTACGCGACAAAATATTGTTGCATAATACGTCTGCGTGTGCCTTGACACGTTTCCATTCGTCATGAACAACGCACTTTCGGGCACGCTCAGAAGTTCGTAAACCTCTTTCGCGGATTCATACGTCGATATTGTTTTACGGCATCTCAGAATGGCAAAGACGACGAGACGCAGAACGACGGTGCTGATGGCGCGAGAGCACGAGGAGAGAAAGTCGACGGGAAGAACTCGATTTCGCAAATGCCGAAATAAAAACTTTTCTCTCGCCTGGCTTTTCGCGCCGCGCACAAATCTCAAGCGTATTTTCGCGCGACAGTCCTCGCGATCTTGACAGTTCCGCGCAAATTGCAACCGTCGACAATCAAACTTACCGTCGCGCGAAACACCGTAAACGCGAGGGATCCCGCAATCTTGTGCCGTTTCGACGTTCCCGTTTTCATGATGAGGGGTCCTCGGCGAAACGATTTTTGCGACGAATTTCTAAGGACGATGGTGAGAAAACTCGCGTTCGGATCGACGAAATCTAAAAGTAGTTTATACCGCGATTACTTGTTCCCGAAATGTTAGCGTATAAATTTGATTCCCGAATCGAACGTGGTTTTTCGCGGTTGTAAAAATCGCAGGCGATAGTAAAACTGGACTGTGTGTGTGTGTTGAAGCGTAATAAAATGATGTTTCGCGGAAGTGTAAACAAAAGTTATTGGTGTCTAGATTGCGAATATACGAGATGATTTATATTTATATTGTCTGTATCTCCTCTAAATTTGACTATTACATATGTGCGTGTGCTATTATTGTATAATATTTCATTTTTCTTTTTAATTGTTATAAATTTATTTGAAAGCAGTATCTACAATTTATAAAGAAGATATTTCTTTTTATGTTTCAACATTAAACATTAAATACAATGCTGATTTTCTTTCGATAGACAGACTGATTTGGGAGAATATCGTTGTAGCTGTATATAATTATCTCAAGGCAATTAAAAATCTCGGAATTATCCTTACGTGCGGGAATACATATGTACATCAGTATCTGTATAAATATGGCGAGCAATTTGTAGGAAGTGCACGTAAATACTTCCATTCCGCTTTTTATCAGGTCTACATCGTAGATCGGTCGGCTCCGTTCTGGGAAGTTTTCGTAAATTACCAACGACTTGTGAAATTGCCCCATAACCAAAATGAATTCTAGAGCGTCGTCGCCATTGGGGAGGATGCTGCAGGCTTTGCAACAACGATGTAGAGCGCGACGCGAATTCGCATCGGCTGGTAATCGTATTAAAAGGGGTGAAGCACCCAAGATCGAAACTTTCGTGAGCGAGGTAACGCGTAAAGAGGTCGGGGAGTGAGAGAGGAATAGGCGGTAAAAGAGGGATGGCGGGGG